TCTGCTCCCCATGATCTCCTGGGGGCACGGAGACGCGGCCGGCACGGCTGCTCTGCTCAGACGAGTGAGGATGGCACAGTCGCTCTCCTTCGCTGAGGCGATGATGCAGAAACCGCCCGAGCCTTGCCAGGAGTGAGCGTCCCAAGAAAGCCCCCCCCCCGGGGGCGAGTTACACCGACTACGGCAGCCCCCACGCAGTGACATTTCGGTCCCAAGAAAGCCCCCCCCCGGGGGTGAGTTACACCAACTACGGCAGCCCCCACGCAGTGACATTTCTGCCAGCTGTGGAGGCCAGATCTCTCCCAAGGGTGCACGTCTGGAAAATGGTGTTAGTATAGAACAGGACGGCGCTGCTCAGGCAAGGATGCCAACCAGCTTCTTTCCGCACAGTCAACACCAGCCGCCCCCCACTGCCGCTACCTCCCGTGGAGCTGCCAGAGCACTGAGGCCGGGGGGGCTGAATGCGGCCCAGTGCCGCCCTCCGAGCACCTCTCAGGTGCCTGGGGCCAGTGCTGACACCCCGTCTCTCTCCCTCCGCAGGGAGAGTGGAGCAGCTCCATCTCCAGCACTACAGGGATCTGGCCCAATCTAAGCACAAGGAAAATCCAGCCTTGGATACGGACCCACGAGCTCTGGCAACACTGATGAGTCCCAAGCACTAGCAACCCAGGTACAAATTAAGCCCTCCCACAAGGGAGCAAGGAACAGCCACTGTGACCTGCCCAGCAGTCAGCTGCACGAAAGGTGTTGAACTGGGGTTGCCTGTCTGTCCCGAGGCGCAAGGACAGAACCAACTCTCCTTCCTTCTGCCCCTGGCCCGCCCCAGCAACTGTGGATCCATGGTGCACAGAAGGGAGCGGAGAACTAGCGCTGCCTCTACTGACAACACAGCCCCTCTGCTCTGCCCTGCCACGCACCAGAGCCCAGGGAGCCCACATACTCAACGCACCAGGGGCAGAGATGGAAGGAGAACGGGAGATCTGTGAGCCCAGCATGAAGTGGGGAAGGACAGCTTGAGGCCAGAGAAAGCTATGAGTGAGGGGCTGGAATCCTTTGCAACAGGCTCTGGGCATCCTCAGTGAGCCCCTGAGCATCTTTGATTTCAGGTAGCTTCAGAGCCAGCCCCAAAGCTGACTGGCTCTCCCGCGGGCTTTTGGGAGTACAGACCAGAGGAGGAAATCAACACAAAATCTCAAATTAAATCTGCTTGAGGACCTTAGGAGACCAGCCGATCCACAGGGAGGACCCGCCTTAGGACTTCTTTGCATCCTGTGTGTTCCTCCTCTTCAGATCACCCAGGTCGACAGGTTTAAATGCTGCAGGGATGACAGGAGAGACTTTGGCGGCAGAGGCCGCATCGCAGCCCTCTCCCAGCCCGCGCAGCATCCCTGGGGCTGGCCATCCCCTCCGGCAGGAGCCGGGGGAGGGTGCCCCCCGCCCCCCTCACCTTTGAGGCTAGGGTTCGGCATCTTCTCCACGTACTCCTCAACCAGGCCGCGCTCGGAGCCCATCTGGCTGCGCAGGTCACGCTCCACACACTGCCAGGCTACGGGGACACACGTGTGAGGGG